ACTTTCGAAAGACGTTAAAATCTCATGCATCAACAACTTCAAAAGAAACCTTCAAACAACGATGTCGAATCCACAATCATTTACAAAGAAGCACCCTAAACTGGCCGGTTGCAAAGGTGCTATGCGGTGCCCTATACACGACCGAAGCTCGGAATTCACGACCACTGTCGTGGACAGGCGTAGGTTCATCTGGAACTGCAACTTCGAACACGTGCTTGAAACCGATGTAACTTGTCCTTGGGATTGTCTTCGGCGACCCAAATCGGCCGCCCCCCGACCTCAGGAATCGCCAGAAGGGATGTGGAACTGTCGCCAGCTAGGGTCACCCACCCCGACGGCCTCTTGCAACCCGGTATGCCGAGATCGCCACGTCGCGGTCCCGCAGCGACTGGATCGCTGCGGCCGCCGACGCTGGCTCCTGGAAGGTGCAATGGCCTCGGGAGTGCATACTCAGAGACTCCAATATTCCTTATTAATTAAGGAATATTCCTTAAATTATAGTAGGATCCCTAAAATGATTTAAGGAATATTAGTCTCTGCATTCCCTGGGTTTGTCTAAAAGGCGCCATAGAGGTGTGAGAAGATGTTCTTTGCCACCCGCCAAGCTCGTCGTTGTGTCGCAGTACACACGAAACGGGGTGCGGGTTTAGGTTTAGGCAGTTGTATAAAGTCCTGTACTATTCCTCAAAGGCTGACGCAGACTTTAAACAGTTAAGCGAGAACCGCAAAAGCCCCAGGACAGGTGAGCTCCCTGGAGGCTGCTGTGCTGGTCTCTTCACTGCCTTCAGCTTCGGCTTTTCGGGGGTTTCGATCCTTGGGGAAGTTTGGCAAGAGCAACTGGGGATCGTCCAAACTCGGAAGGTTCACGGCAGAACCTGTCAATTGTCAAAAAAACGCTCCCAAACCTGTTCGCGCTTACTTATTCCACTCGCCCGAAACGGCGGAACACAGGCCTGAAATGCGAGGCCTGAGTGCCACACCCATCCCTCTGGAGCCGCCATCCTTTGATCCGGACAAAGAAAGCCAGGGAGGTCGGTACTAAATTCGGGTCACCATGGACTCCTAGCTTCGTATGCACTTTGTCAGTGAACGGTAGGTACGACAGGTACGATAGGAAGCTTCCATCTGCACATGCACATGCACGTCCACATCGCTACACCACACTGGCCACACCACCACCATACCAAACGAGACTAGACCAGACCGGCCTGAACTAGTGCAGTGTAGACTAGACTAGACTAGACTGATCCGAACTGTAGTATCATTTACCTGCTGCAAGATCCGCATGGTGGTATGGTCTCTAAGCCTCTAAGCAGCACGCACTCTTCGGACTACATTGGATGCTTTGGCTTGAGAGTAGTTGATTCTTACATGACCTTCAGCCAACTCTTGCTCAACGGCTCGGAGAGGTCGTCTGTAGCAAAGGCCCGCATGTGCTCAAAAACAAACAGAACCACCCGGCTCTGACTACACACATCTGAAAGCGTCTGAATGGATCCTCGACGTCCAGGTCTGCAAATTCGAGCATGTAGCCGCATGTCACGCCCCGATGTGATTTTCGTGCCATGGGTGTGCAGTCATGACTGGGCTGCGTGGAGGATGACATACTTTACACCATTCTCTTCGGCCCGTCGAGCATGTCGCGAGCCCTCACGAAGCCCATGCAGCGAAACACATCTTTCCGGGCAATATTATAAAGCCCGAACCAAGGACTCCCAGCTGCATAAACGGTCACCCTGCCAGGTGCAACCTAGCCTTTCAACTCGCATGGGCCACGCCCAGCAGGCTGAGGGCTGAGCCTTATTCTTGAAGATGGAAAGCTCCTGTCTGTGAGTGAACCATGGCGAGGGAGTCTAGCAAAGTACATGCCAGGTCGATGACTTAGTCAATCATGTGCCCGTGTTTCGATCCATGCAACTCTCAGTGTTGACAAGTCTGCCAGATGTTCAAGCGTCGAAAGACACTCCGGTGGATGACAGCTAAAACTGAACAGAAGCAAGCCACCATCACACTTACCTGACGTAAATGCCAAACCTGCGTTGCCAACCGAAGTCAGTCGGTCTCTGGCCTTCACAGCCCCCACTTCTTCGAATAGAGCAGTGAGTTGTGCCTGTTCGGGTTCAGCAGCTAACCACCCGGAGCACATCTTTTCGTCGACGAGTGCGACCACACAAAAACCGATCTCAAGACAATGCGACCAAGTCTTGCGCCTAAGCAGCACGCAATGCGGCACCAAGCCGGCAGCTAAGGGGATACTTGGTAATCTGTGCGCGCCGTGCACCTTGCAAAAATCCCGTGGCACTGCCATGCCAAGAAAAGCCGCTGGAGAACGAAATAACGAACGCTAGCAAAATCTGGGCGAAGAGTGCTGCAGCAGGCATCCCTTCGCAGCATGCCCCAACGATATATGCCGAGCTGTTGGAGTATTCCAGTGCTACTACGGTCCAGGCTAGCATGAACACCGCTCCGCAAACAGCCGCAGTCATGAACAATTGCGGTTGCAAGTGCACGCGCGTATTAGTTCTACGACTGCTGTACGTTTATCTCTGAAACTTGAAACCTTAATGATCTCAGCCAGTTCTTCACGATACATATAGCAGTAATGCAGCGGCCTCCTCGACATCGAAGGGCACATTGCTAAAAAACACCTCGGAGGGATTGGCTGCATGTCGAGTCGACACGCTGGGTTTAGAAACGGCTTTGGGGTCGAACGCTTTATTTAGGGCTCTGGCGCGGCTTATGCTTAGGTCATCATGCTCGGGCATTCGGAAATTCGTGTTTTGGAAGTTGCTACGGAGGCTCTCGTGTATGCTGCACAATAGATTGACGCCCGGATGGAACAAAAGCCGCAAAGAGGCTTGGTTCAGCCTTGCCGGATCTTAGGACAGTGCCCCAACACATTACCCATAGGCCCCATACTAGATCCTTTTTGGGGTTCATACTTAGAATCCTATAAGGTATAATCCCCAAACGGACCTACTCTGGGGCCTATGGGTAAACTCCAAGTGGTCTCTAAAACCCGAGCCGCCCAGCCTCTTTCAACTCCCGAGTCCCGAGACCCAAACGCGAGAGGAACCCGAGGAAGTTCCCACTGCAGGGCCTTGCGGACTTCAGCTCATCGAGCTTGGGGTCTTAGGCAAAGGCGGCCTTGGGCTCATATATATATATATATATCTATCTATCTATCTATCTATCTATCTATCTATCTATATATATATATACATACACATATACGTGTGTATGTGTGTGTGTGTGTTAAATATGTAACTTATAGTGTCTCTTTTGCAAGGCTTTTGAGTGCCGAATGGCTCGACCTTGCGGGCTTGCACAGCAGCTGTCAAATCTTGAAGAGTCAGCGGGTTCGGGAGGGGCTATGTGACGGCATCTGAGCTCAGCGTGCTGTGCCAAACAGTGTGAATCCCATACTTTTTCTCAATGCCGACCCTGCTCTCTGAGAAAGCCTGCCCTAAACGCTAAAGCCTTACGAGCCCTGGACACTCACACCCTCCACTTGGCACAGACCGGAATGCGCCTTTAGTGTCCTCGGCAATCCAAATAGCTCTCCCCCCGACCTGCAAGACAATCGCTTTGGGGACTTGCGGATTTTGAAGTTAGGCGTCTCCTTGGCGGGTCCTAGTAATTATTGAGAGCCGTACTATTCGAGCCCGTGGCCCATAAGCTGCAAAACGGGGCTCGTTTTCTGAAATGGCCAAAAGGTGTGTGAAGGGGAAAAGGGGGGGGAGCGGAGGGGTTGTGTCGGGCTTTCGGCAAGGGCTAGCCTTCTGTGGCACTCACAACTCGGACCGGATTCGCAACTCGGAAATGAACAGGAAAACGAACCAACACTGAAATGCTCTTCACCTAGCGAACAATCCCATGCATGAAATCTCAAGACGTGCCATCTGTGTAGTACTGGCATCCCGGGACCTATCGCAACATCAACACCTGGATTCGTAAAGAATGCGAAGCAAGCTCTGGGGCTTCCCGCTAATGTAGGGGCCCTGAATAATCAGAATAGGGTTTTGGGGTGTGTGCGGACAGAATAGGGTTTCGGGGTATAGTATACTATAGTTATAATAAGGAACGTCCAAAATAGTACTGGCAATTCTTTAGGCTCCTATATTAGGCTGCTTCGGGAAACCCGCAAGAAGCTCAAGCTCCCCCGACAATACCTATGGTTTAGGCCTAAGGTTTAGCCACTACTACCAATACTGCGAGAAGGCTCGACTTCGAAGACTACTACTACTACGGCGGCGCCCCAGCAGATAGAATATGAAAACGTGAAGCGGTGCAGATAGAATGTGAAATTTTACAGGAAAAATTTTGAGGAACGGAGCAC